ATAGGTGCCCACCACCATGCCCAGCTAATTTTTGTATTTTTAGTAGAGATGAGGTTTCACCATATTGGCCAGACTGGTCTCAAATTCCTGACCTCAGGTGATCCACACACCTCGGCCTCCCAAAGTGCTGGGATTACAGGCGTGAGCCACTGCACCCAGCCCCAATATTTGGCTTCTTGTTCTTGCCTGAAATGTTATGTTCATTTCCCGCTAGGGATAAAATAGGAATATATTTTGTGTATAGGTCCACCAGCAGGTGTTGGAATGGTAATAGTAGTCTCTGAACAGACCCTGGGTGATCTGTGGCACTCTGGAAGCTAAGGCACTCTGATCCCCAGCTCAAGGTGTGGGGTGGACTTGAACAAGTCACTTCATCCCTCTGAACTTTGGTTTACCTATCTGCAAAAAGATGTCTGCTTCACAGATCTGTGATTACAATTTGAGGTCATATGCTTAAAGGACAGGGCACATGAAAGGCACTCAATCAGTAACAACATCTTGTGAGTGTGTTTGCTATTTTTATTGCTAACCCTGCTTCTTAGGCATGTCTGGGACAATGAGTGTCACCTTTTGAATCCTACAGGTGAATCTTGGTGTGTAGACTTGAGACCTTGTTTAAGCACAAAGGTTTTTTTTTTGTTTTTTGTTTTCTTTTGAGGTAGGCTCTTGCTCCATCGCCCAGGCTGGAGTGCAGTGGCGCGCTCTTGGCTCACTGCAAGCTCCGCCTCCTGGGTTCACGCCATTCTCCCGCCTCAGCCTCCCGAGTAGCTGGGACTATAGGCGCACACTGCCACGCCCAGCTAATTTTTTGTATTTTTAGTAGAGATGGGGTTTCACCATTCACAGGATGGTCTCGATCTCCTGACCTCATGATCCACCCACCTCGGCCTCCCAAAGTGCTGGGATTACAGGCATGAGCCACCGTGCCTGGCCAATGTTTGTATTTTTAGTAGAGATGGATTTTCACCATGTTGCTCAGGCTGGTCTTAAACTCCTGACCTCAGGTGATCCACCCGCCTCAGCCTCCCAAGGTGCTGGGATCATAGGCTGCTTTTTTTCTCATCCTGTGAAATACAGTCCATGGCATTTAATTCTGACTGCATTGGCCCAAGGCTTCTGGCATTGTCCACGTAACTAGCAGCTGGTGGCGTGAGCCAGGACAGAGTTCTTATGAGTATGAGGGCACTGCTCATTTCCTGAGTGGGACTGAGGCAGTTTTGGGTTCTGCCCTTCTCTGACAGGCATCAGGCAGGGCAGGTTTTTCCTTGCCAGTGTAGGAGGGGGACAGGCTTATTGTGTGTAAAGGGACAGTGTCATGTCTCAGGAGTTAAGCAAGTTTGGAAAGGAACCTCCATGAGAGCCAGGGGTTGTGGGCTTTTAAATAGCACATTCTCCTTTTCTCAGAATTTCCATTTTTACTGATCAAGTATGTAGACTCTTTGTTTTAAATCTGCTCTTCTCTGTTACTTTTACACCACCTTTTGGAGTGGTCCCCATCTTTGCTAAAGTTACTTATTTGATACTTTAACTTTCCCCTTAGACTGTGTGCTCCCCTTATGGAGTCCTGGGACCTAGCATGGTAAACCTGCACCTAAGAGACCTTTAGTAAATACTAGTTAAAGGAAAATTCAGGATAGGTTTTTTTCTGGAGGAACTGAATACTTAATATTTGTGTTTATTATAATATTTGAAAATAGCTGGGCATGGCGGCTGACGCCTGTAATCCCATCATTTTGGGAGACTGAGAGGGCAGATCACTTTAGGGCTGGAGTTGGAGACCTGCTTGGCCAACATGGAGAAACCCTGTCTCTACTAAAAAATACAAAAATTAGCTGAGCGTGGTGGTGCGTGCCTGTAATCGCAGCTACTCAGGAGGCTGAGGCAGCAGAATTGCTTGAACCTGGGAGGCAGAGGTGGCAGTGAGCCAAGATTGCACCAACTTGTACATCTAAGCCTGGGCAACAGAGTGAGACTCCGCTTCAGAAAAAAAAAAAAAGACCAATCTGACCTTTAAAGCCTGTTTCCTCGGCAGTTGGTGGCTCACGCCTGAATCCCAGCACTTTGGAGCCGAGTGGCGGGCAGATCACAGTGCTCAGGAGATAGAGACCATCCTGGTGAACCATGGTGACCCTTGCTCATTAAAAAACTACAAAAGGTTAGCTGGATATGGTAGCACGCCACATGACGTCCAGCCTACCCGAGGAGCTGAGCAGGGAGAGAATCGCTTTGAACCCGGGAGCAGGAGTTGCAGTGAGTGAGATCACCCATTGTGTTCGTAGCCTGGACGAGAGTGAGACCTCATCTCAAAAAATAAATAAATAGGGCCAGGCGCGGTGGCTCACGTCTGTAATCCCAGCACTTTGGGAGGCCAAGGCCGGTGGATCATCTGAGGTCAGGAGTTCAAGACCAGCCTGACCAACATGGTGCAACCCTGTCTCTCCTAAAAAATATATAAAAATTAGCTGGGCATGGGCACATACCTGTAATCCCAGCTGCTCAGGAGGCTGAGGTAGGAGAATCGCTTGAACCCGGGAGGTGAAGGTTGCAGCGAGCCGAGATCGTGCCATTATACTGTAGCCTGGGTGACAGAGTGAGACTCCATCTCAGATAGATAGATAGGTAGGTAGGCAGATAGATAGATAGATAGATAGATAGATAGATAGATAGATAGATAGATAGACAGATAGATAGAAAGAAAGAAAGAAAGGCTAGAGTGAGACTGTCTCGGATGGATGGATGGATGGATGGGTGGATGGATGGATGGGTGGGTGAGTGGGTGGGTGGATGAATGGGTGGGTGAGTGGGTGGGTGGATGAATGGGTGGGTGGGTGGATGGATGGATGGATGGGTGGCTGGATGGTTGGATGAAAGATAGTGTTTCTCACCAAGCTGTCTTCTTGAGTGTTGAATATGTGTTTCATTTACGCCCTTTTCTTTCTGTGGGCCTAATGATGAAGTTGCAAGAGTGAGAGACCATGTGCTGTGATGGCCACTAGACAGGATAGCAGGGCTGCTGAATCTCATTGTGCCTGCAGGTGGCTCATTTAAGCTCTCTGAGCCTGTACTTCCTCATCGTGGAATAGCAGTGCCCAGTCTGCCTGTCTTGCAAGGGTATGGTGAGGGTCACATGTGACTTCAAGTTAAATGCAAAGGAATAGATTTAATTTCATATACACAGAACAAAATCTGGAAGGAAACACCATAATTATGTATTAAATAAAATTTTTAACATTGAAACGGTGGGAAATTATATACATATTGTTTTCCATTTATGTGCCAGGAGAAGATGAGGAAGAAATGGAGCATCAGGAAGAAGGCAAAGAGCAGCTTTCAGAAACAGAAGGCAGTGGGGAAGATGAGCTGGGAAATGACCCCACTAAGACCACGCAAAAGAAGATCAAAGGCCAGCCCTGCCCAAAAAGGCTTTTTACCTTCAGTCTTGTGAACTCCTATGGAACAGCTGACATAAATTCACTTGCAACTGATGGAAAACTACTTAAACTCAACTGTAAGCACTTTTTCTGACCTTTCAAGCTGGGCTTTAGGGACTTAAGATCTGTTCGAAAATCCTTGCACTCGATACTTACCGCATTGGGCTTTCACAGTCTCTGTGCCTCCAGGAGCAGACACTCGTATGATCCTTGACTTGAAGCCCCCTAAGGACTGTTTCAAAGGTCTCCCTACCTTTCAGGCTTTTCTCCTCGGTCCTCGATGACCTCGGAGGAAAGTAGGTCTCTCTCCACTCCCTCTGTGGGAGTTTGCTGTGGGTCAGTAACCTTTCCCATGGCCACTCTTGGCAGTAACATTTCTCCATACTTGTTCACTTATAAGAATAAACGCATATTTATTTTGTTCATTAATGCTCAAGAAATGTGATCCATTCAGAGGATGGTCATGGATTTTGTAGCCTCACCGTCACATGGAGGTTGTAATGGAGACTGCTGTACAGACAGGAAGAGGCATTCCGAGGAGTTGTGTGAAAAGCACAATTGGCCAGTGAGGACACGTGCCAGCTGGGGGAGGGGAAGCATCTCTGTCTTTCAGCTCCCTTCCCACCTCACCCTCCTGAGTAGCTGATACTACAGGTGCGCACCACCATACCCAGCTAGTATTTATAGTTTTTGTAGAGACAGGGTCTCACTATGTTGCCCAGGCTGGAATGCCTTGCAAATTCTAGCCATCTTCTCAAACTCCAGTCTTTGACTCTTCAGCTTAATCTTTCCCTCTCTTCCCTATGCTAAGTCCTGGCAACTGCCTGCAGGCAATAAGTTAGGACGATGTAGGGGTCTCTTTTTTCCCCTTCTCTCAGGGATCTCCTTCCTGCTGTATCCAATGTCTGAAAACAATTGTTTCATCCATTTTCAGGTTTTTTTTGGTTTGTGGTAGGATGATAAATCTGGGCCCTATTACTCCATCCTAACCTGTGCCCTTTCAGAATTCTCCATAGTTAGTTCCTTTGTAGCTTATCTGTATCACTAAGGAAGTCTTTGCCAAAGGCTTTTTGGGTCTGGGGGTCAGAAGGGCTGGCCCATTGCAGAGCATTGCTCTTGGCAGTGGCTGCTGATGGGGGAGAAGGTGTTGATGGTGTGGCCTGAGTGTGATCCTTCTCACTCCTGTCACTTGGAGAGCCTCTCCTGTTGCTTGCCATTCCATAACAAGTGACATTTTGGTCCTCCTCAGCTCGATCTACACTGGCCATCGATTGGGACAGTGAAACTCGGAGCCTTTACTATGATGAGCAAGAATCTGAGGTAGGTCCCTTGGGGTTTGTGGTCGGTGGTGTCTGCTGATTTCTGCTCTGGATGTGGACTGCGATCACTTTCACCAGTTGCACAGCAATTTAGCAAGTTATATTTAAGACTGAGAAGGAAAAGCACTTCAAGAGTTTGTCATTTTATGTTCAGAGTCTCTAGAAAGGTTACTACATTCCAGGTGGGAGAGCCTCTGAAGGCCTTCGTGTCTTAATGCAGTAAGATCTCTTTCTCCAGCAGAACTGAGTGCTTTGTTTCCCATAGGCCTACGAGAAGCATGTGAGCATGTTGCAGCCTCAGAAGAAGAAGAAGACCACAGTGGCCCTGAGAGACTGCATAGAGCTCTTCACCACCATGGAGACCCTTGGGGAGCATGACCCCTGGTATGCAGCTCCTCACTTTCTGAGCAGAGGCCCCATGCACCCCAGGACTCAGATCTGCCAGGGCCATCTGTGCACATAAATCCTTTGTGTTTGGATGTGTCACTTCTTTATATAGCCAACCCTACAACATAGTCCTCTGTGAGTTGAGGTTTCCTAGGAAAGCCATCACCCCATTTTGGAAGACAGGTCCCTGGCCAGAAGCAGTAGTGTTGAGTGCTGACCTAAAGGATGGCAGCTGTCAGGGGACTGCAGCTGTGCCTCCATGCATGAGTGCCGAGGTGGTACCGGCTGCCTGCCTGCCCTACTAAGTAGAGGTTTTTCTTTTCAGGTACTGTCCCAACTGTAAGAAGCATCAACAGGCAACAAAAAAGTTTGACCTATGGTCCTTGCCCAAGATCCTGGTGGTCCACCTCAAACGTTTCTCCTACAACAGATACTGGAGGGATAAGCTCGACACAGTTGTAGAATTCCCAATCAGGTGGGTCATGGTGACTACCGTGTTAGGAACATTTAAAAACAGGCAGAAAATCTTGGCACTGATTGGCTGAGTGGTTTGCCACCAAAAACTTTTCTGAGTAAGGATGTGTGTTGCTGGGCTCTAGGAGGTCAGAGTTTAGCTGTAGTTGCCCCTCCTGTGTCTATCCTGCATCTTCGGGGAAGAGACTCTTCAGTGGAACATTTGCCCAGACACAGGCTATTCACAGTCATCCCTGCCACTGCTAGTTTCCCTCTCAGGTCACTTAGGCTACCTAACTATCCTGTTTTTCCTGTCCATCATCTGTCACAGGTAGCCTCACCTTAGCAGAGGCAGTCCAATAGGGGACAAGGCAACCAAGAATAGCCTGCCAGGGAGAGCTGGGTTATTACTGGGGGATGCAGTTGGGCTGCAGACCTGCCATGGTCCTGTCCCTGGGATAGGGACTGGGACTGGCTGTCTACTCATATCCTCTCAAGCCCCACGGTACAGACCGTAACTAAGAACAGGAAAGTAAGTCAACAGATAGATGTTGCCTGGCTGGGCACAGTGGCTCACGCCTGTAATGTCATCAATTTGGGAGGCCAAGGTGGGAGGATCACTTGTGCCTAGGAGTTCAAAAACAGCCTGGGAAACAGACTTCCTCTCTACAAAAAATAAAAAATATATTTAAAAAAAATAGGCTGGGCATGATGGCTCACGCCTGTAATCCCAGCACTTTGGGAGGCCAAGGTGGGCGGATCACAAGGTCTGGAGATCGAGACCATCCTGGCCAACATGGTGAAACCCCATCTCTACTAAAAATACAAAAGTTAGCTGGACGTGGTGGCACGCACCTGTAGTCCCAGCTACTCAGGAGGCTGAGGCAGGAGAATCGCCTGAACCTGGGAGGCAAAGGTTGCAGTGAGCCAAGATCGTGCCCCTGCACTCCAGCCTGGTGACAGAGCGAGACTCCATCTCAAAAATAAAAATAAAAAAGAGGCCGGCACAGTGACTCACACCTGTAATCCCAGCACTGTGGGAGGCCAAGGCAGGTGGATCACTTGAGATCAGGAGCTGGAGACTACCCTGGCCAACATGGTGAAATCCTGTCTCCAGTAAAACTACAAAAATTAGGTGGGTGTGGTGGTGCATGCCTATAATCCCAGCTACTTGGGAGGCTGAGGCAGGAAAATCTCTTGAACCCAGTAGGTGGAGGTTACAGTGAGCCAAGATTGCTCCACTGCACTCCAGCCTGCAGTGACAGAGCAAGCCCCTCTCTCAAAAAAAAAAAAAAAAAAATGTAGGCAGGCATGGGGCCACACCTGTAATCTCAGCACTTTGGTAGGCCGAGGCAGGCTGATCACTAGGTCAGGAGATCAAGAGCCATTCTGTTAACACGGTTTCAAACCGTCTCTTACTAAAAATACAAAAATTAGCTGGGTGTGTGGCGGGGACACCTATGAGTGCCAGCTACTCGGGAGCTGAGGCGGCAGAATGGCATGAACCTGGTAGGTTGAGCTTGCAAGTGAGCCGAAGATCGTGCCACGTCACTCCACGCCTTGAGCGCAGAGCGAGACTCCATCTCAAAAAAAAAAAAAACAAAAAAAAAAAGGAGTGCCCACAAAATGTACATTTAAAAATGCTTCTGGGAAAGATAAACATGAAGTTAGCATGTCAGCAGAGACTCACAGTAATGCAATAAGTATTTGTTGTAAAGAATCTTTAGCTTGGCTGGGTCCTCAGTGGCTCACACCTGTATCCCCAGCACTTTGGAGGCTGAGGCGGCCAGATCATGAGTCAGGAGTTTGAACCTAACATGACTAACATGGTGAAACCCCGTCTCTACTAAAAGCACAAAAAAAAAAAAATTAGCCAGCATTATGGCGCACGCCGTAATCCATTCTGCTACCGGAGGCTGAGACAGGGAAATCACTTGAACCCAAGAGGCGGAGGTTGCAGTGAGTCAAGATCATGCCACTGAGCACTCCAGCCCGGGTGACACAGTGAGACTTCTTCTCAAAAAAAAAAAAAATATTTATCTTTTCTGTGTGTTGAGAAAGGTTTAAATAAAAATGGAGGAAGAAAGCTTTCTGGGGCCTGTTTTGCTGAGTTTAAATATTATGGCACTAATTTGTAAAGCTGTTTAATGACACGCCATTTCTGCATACTTGCTTGAAAGCCCTCTTGTGTATCTCGAGACCCTCTCCATCACCATTTGTTGGCTGGATTACCCAGAATTCTCCT